TGTGAATTTTTTTAGAAAAAACCTCCTAAGAAATAAATGTATTTCTATAGTTCATGCTAAAGACACAAAAATTAATTATTACTCTTAATTGCACAATTAATTAAAAATCACTGTACAGTGAAATTAGGAAATAAATCTGTTCCTTGTTAATGCCCTCCCCACCAAAACGTTTCTGCTACAAAGAATTTTTCAATTTCCCAAACTGAGACTTTTCTGTTTGAAAATTCCACCTAATTCAATCATTCGCTTTAGTCTTTTGTCTTTGTGTTTTTTTGCCGACATTATTCACTAAACTGGATAATTACAGTGAATATGAAGCCGGCTGGCCTGATCCCAAAGCTCCGGAACCAGAGAGCGGCGTAAAGTTCTGACAGAACGGTCAGCAGAGGTCTGGAGATGGGACAGAGAGATGTCCTTCATAGATCCGCACGCTGGTTGTTTATTCTGGAAGAGCTTCTCTATATGTATCTATCCGCTTGTCTCTCTGTAGGACACACACACACACATATATATATATATATATATATACACACTGGCAGCTGAAGAAAACGGAGGGCTTTTGAGTGAGGGCCAAGTGGTGGCTGTCAGAGGTCTCTACATGCCTCGGTGCGTAAATTAAAACCCTGCGGTGTCACTGACGCTGTCCCATCATGGGAGGACCCCGTGATGAAGCTCGAATTTTATGACCCACGTAATGTGGAACGACAACAAAGCAACGGAAAGATTCAGTAGAAAGTCTGGTTTTTGCACAGCGGACAACACCATTGTTCACAGAGAGCTGATTTTTTTTTTCTTTTAAATGTTCCCTCTGTGGAGCTATTTTCTGTTTTTCATTGGGGGACTCCAGACGCTACTTTCGGCCTAAAAGAACACAGCAATCTAAAGCTTCGTGTGAAAAAAAACAAGACAAATCCCATTTGTTCTTTTTGGTCCCTTCTTCATTATGTAACCACAGGCCTGATAATAGTATCTCCATTTGAAGCTCAGGATATTGGGCGACGCAGATAAGATGCGTTTGATGGATTAGCCAGACGTGAGAAGGCGCTAAGTCTATCAGTCTCGCCGTCCGTTTCCAAGTCCCTCCTTTTGTTTGTCTCTTTAAAAAGAGATTCTCTTGGTCATTTGTAACGTCGACACAAAGACACCCTGATGGGTAAAAATGGGCTCCTGCGCAGCAGCAGTGTGGAAACAAAGTGCACACGGTTTGGCTTTAAGACCTGGCTCCGGGTACCTATGCTCTCCGCCTGTCTGCAGCAAATATTGAGGCTGCGCTCTCAGAAACAGCTTTTCATGGAGGTAATGAAAGCCGTATGAGGCGGCCCGCGATCCAAACATGACTAATCCTGGAACCGCGCAGCTTTATCAGTACCGACAAATACAGAAGAACTGAGCGAAGGGGGAGATCCAAGGCGACATCACGTCAGACGCCCTCTTTTCTCCTCTTGGAGTTTAAACTGTTCAATAAAATAAAAAAGGAGCAAGTTTCATACTTTAAGAAAAAAGGAACCAGCTCAGATGCGTGCAGGTAAACATCATCACAAAGTTTAAAGAAATATGTTCATGCCAAGAGTTTTAAAGTTGTAGGGAAGTCACATATAAATGTCAAATCATTCTGGCTTAAACATGTATATAAATGTTCTCTTTATCAGACCATATTGTCCCAAAATTTAGAAAAATTTCTATTTAAAAAAAAATCCTGTCTTAAAATCTGTTTCTTTCCAATTATCTAATGTAGGCCAGTTAGTTATACGTCAGCCTGAACAGCTAAATTTAGCAAATCATATATCAACGGTCATCTGTCAATCACATTTTTTAGGTCATATCATCTTGATTGATATCTCACAGCTAATATACGCAATACCCAATTACTTTCCCAATGAGTTACGTCCCAGTGTTCACGGGGCCTTCTACACCAAACCAGGCTACTGCCACAAGTTAGATGGAAGATGGAACCTTCCGCCACAACAAATCCCGCCCTCTTGATAAACGACCAATCACATTCACTTTATTCACTCGTGTAAAGTCGTGCACCACTCGGGAGAATTCCGAAATGCAACGTTTGGAACAGCCGCTTCCCTACGACTTTACACAAGTGAATAAAGTGAATGTGATTGGTCGTTTAACAAGAGGGCGGGATTGTTGTGACGGAAGGTTGGCAAGCATGTTTGGTTGTGGCCGGTTTCTCGGAAGAATTTTGATAACCAGTTAGCAACTTAGTGCTAGCAGGTTCCCAATGGGAAATTCCATTGGGACCAAGTAGCACTAAATTGGTGACTTAGAAACGACACTGTCAAGGAACGCTATGGACAGCGGAAACATGCAGGAGGAGGAGAGTTTAGTGTCGGAGGTCGTGGATGAGTCTCCTCCATCTCCTTTCAATGGGCGCTCTATTGAAAGTTAAAAGTTCTCTATTCTGTTGCTGTTGTTGCATAAAAGTACATTTTAAGATCATCTAAGGCGAGAACATTATACTTTTGAGTTTTGCTATACTGTTTGGTCCATTTACCAATTTAATTCTTAATTTTAAAAAAATATATATTTTTAAATGTTCTCTTTTTTGGAACCTCAAAAAAAAGAAAAACAACAATAAAAAAAACAACAACAAAAAAAACCCACCCACTCTCTCCATGTAGCAACACATGTACAATGTAGTAATATTATATTAAACATTAACCATACTTTTTAAAGGTCAGAATTAAGCGCAACAAAAAAAAAAAATTATTGGAATAATTGAAACACAGTGAAGATCAATACTGATCAGTCTCTCAGGTCTAATCTGGTTAGAATGTCCAAGAAGGGAATCCATATCTGGTCAAATGTAGCCAATATTTTCAGGAGTGCATCATGCCAACAGTTTGTTGATCAGAACGTTTCTTGTTTGGAGGCTCCAATCATTTCCAGTTTTTAAGTATATATATATTTTTGCTGCAGATGATGCTAAATCTGTTCCAATTTTTAGGAATACATCCATCAATTATTCAGTAATCGATTAATTTGGCAAAGATATTTACTTTTTGCTATACAAAAAGGACAACTTCATCTTTATGTATTTATAATTAGGTTTTTCCTTCGGTAAAATGTCTGTTTTAGAATCTGAGTACCTTGACTCTGAGCAATGATTCAATTTGATTACCAAATTATTAAAATAATCGATAAATCTTTAGTGTAAAGAGGAGCATATTGTGGACAGAGGGTCTCCTGATCTGTGCTCCTGACCTCCGATCGGTGGCAACAGTGACATAAGCAAAGGGGGAATTAAAAACGAGGACAAGAGAAGGGCGGCAGGTGAGGCGGCTACGGTCCAATCATCAGGTCCATGGTTACTGACAGCTTCCGCCAAACACAGTCAGACACCCTGGAATGGCGAGCTAAGAATAACGCTGTAACGCTGCCACCCGAAAGGTCAGAGTGGAGCCACCGCCTCCCCGTCCCTCTTTAAACTCTGCTTAACCCCCGACGTGTCTCGGGGAAATGAAACAGGAGCAGCTTTCAAACCTTGACGTACATCTCCCACGCTCTCTGGAATCTGACCATCAGAGGAGGGAGGGAGCTCCCGGAAAAATATAAAATACACTCCGTGATTGAAGTTTAAAAACTTCTAAATGACATTTATAAGACGCTTCATTTAGGGGCTGAAGGAGGAACCATGTAGAGAAAGCTGGTTTGTTTGGAGTCGGTGGATGTTGGCACAGAGGGGAGTGGAGGGAGAAAAAAACGTCTTTCCTCGAAGGAGGCACCAGGCTGTGCTCGGTACTGGGTCCGTCGTGGAACAGGAAGGGATGCTGTAGAAATGCACCCAGAATTACACACCCGCCTCAAAGGAGGGGGTCAATAATTTGCGGGGAGCTCCCCACCTTTCAGCCAAGGGAAGAATGACACCCTCCGTCTATAAAAGCAAAGCGCCGACATCGAGGATTCACACCTGACCTTCTGCTGGACAGCTGGAGCGGCGCTGCGGTAATCCGATGACGACAGCGATGGAGCTGCTCACATACGCTCTGATACAGCACGCTAAAAAGGAAAGCTAGCATGGATGTCCTAAACAGTAACTGAATTTCACCAGAATGAGAAAAAAAACATATTTTTTTAATTGATTTACCTGCAAAAACAAATTTATCATTTTTTTTTCATAACTGTAAATTCCTTTAGCCAAATTTTTATTTGTAATAAACTTAATGTAAAAATGTTTTTGCTTTACAAATCTGAGCTATTTAGTCTGGATAAAAAATATTCTAAATAAAAAAAAAAATAGGTGTAAAAAAAGTGAATTCTGGAATTCTTATTTCTATTAGTGAATAAGTTCCTCCAAATGAATTCAATACATGCTGCCGTATTTTATTTATTTCCTGTACGCGTCTGGAAAAATTAAAACATGGAAACAACAAGGATGCTTTGATCTGTACAATCCGGCACCTAGCGAGCGGAGCATCCGGGCGTCACAAGGTAGAGCCCCGGGTCGGGTGGATGTGTGTGTGATACGCTGAGGCGACCTGGGGGCTGCAGGCTGGCTGCCTCCTAAACTACCTGGGACCGGGCCAGACCACCACTCGCACACTAACAGACACCAATCGCACGCTCGCAGGGATTATACACACACACCATGGCGTGCACGAGGGATAAACCCGCTTGCAGATGCTTTTGTTTACCGACGGCGCCGCGAAACATGCACGTTTGGATTTAGTTAAATTTGCACACAAATGCTTCTACAAATGTACCAAAGCAAACATATCTCTTAGTAAACACAGATTTTAAGCCGGGGTCTTTCAAACTGTCAGAATCTCTTTAAAGAAAAAGAAAAATCAATCAGCAAAGAAGCCTTTCTGTTTGTTTTTTCTTCTCCGGGGGGACTGTGATGCACTAGCGGAGCCTTTAAATATTAAAAACCTGGCATTTGTTTTGCCATCAGGACCATTTGGCGAACATTGCAGGGTGGGAGGTTATATCCTGACACCCGTACTGGTTTCTGATCTGTCTTCTCAATGCGTGGGGGGGAAACGTACCTGGTGTGTGGACGAAGTAGGCCAGGTAGAGATCCAGCTCCTTTACCGTCACCCCGATGTGGTGCGGCTGGACACACAGGCCGTGGTTGGAGCACTGGGGCGACTTGACCAGCCGCTCGCCGTCCGTGCTCTCCAGGGGGCTGCCCTTGAACAGGATGACCATCACCAGGTCCAGCCGCCACACCTTGTCGGCCTGGCGGAGGCAGTCGATGCGGCGGATCTTCCCCTTCTGGTCGGGGTTGGACAGCACGCAGCAGGGGGGCTTCTTTCCCGTGATAGTGAGGACGAAGTCCTCGCGGAACTCCGGCCTGATGTCCTTGCGGAGCTTGGCCAGCAGGCGCGAGGCCCACTTCTGCTTGATCTCCGGCTTCTCGCCCAGCAGCTCGTCCTTGACCGCACGCTCCTCGTCCTTGCTCATCCTCTTCTCGTGCTTCTTGAAGTACTTGCGTTTGCGGGCCTGCAGGTTAAACCAGGTGTAGGAAAAGGCACGGACATGGGGGAGGAGGGCCTCGATGAAGGGGTGAAATTCATCCTGAGGACAGAAAAACACGTTTTAAGCAACAAATACTACTAAAAAAACATATTAAGAAACTATACACAGCTTTCAACTATAACCATTGATATAATCTACATACTTTATACATTTAATGCTCAGTAAAGGTTAAACTCTGACAAAAATACCAATTTAAATGTAGTAACAAATCCTAAATTAGGATCTAAACTGAGAAACAGCTTAAATCTGGACTTAAGTAACATTTAAGGACGTAGTTAAGTTTCTACAGATAGAACAAACAATAAAAATTCACTCTTTTTTTTAAATTAGCTTAGCGATAATAAAGTGACGTTTGTTAGCTATTACTGGAACAGAGGTTCCTAATGTACAACTTGATATATTTTTATCAATTTCACAAGTATGCTCCTTAATGAATAAATAATTCAGCCTCAATAAAAATCTAATTCTTATTTTTGTTTTCGTTTTTCTTTTTTTTTAAACAAGGGAAAAACTAATATGCTAGCATGTCTGACCTTAGCCCTAGCGCTAAATGAGCTAAAATGCATATAAAGTTAGATTCTCTCTGAACAGCGACTTCCTGGACATTGTGGCTTTTACTGAGCTGATGGTGTCGTTCACAATAAAACACAGAAAAACAAAAACCGCTTCAGCGTTCTTCACAGAAAAACCATGAGTGACAGGAGCTAACGGAAGACTGAGCGAACATCTTCCCTTAAAATTCCTATCAAACTGTTTAAATAAGAAAGGCTACCAAAATAAAAACAAAATAAAAAAACAATATATATATATATATATATATATATACATATATATATATATATATATATATATATATATATATATATATATATATATATATATATATATATAAATGAACCATTTAAAAACTAAAAACAAAAATTAAATCTTTAAATATTCACCAACATATATTTTTGTTTATTATAAACTGTCACCTAATTAAAGACATATATCTGAGCTGTGTTTTTCAGAAAAATGTCCTATTCCACTAACTTACTCAAATAAATAGTCTTTTAATTTAAAAAACAGCAAATTATTATGCCTTTACTAAACAATAGATATTATTTCAGCTTATTTTGAGCATAAAAAATAAAAAACTGCATCAGTGTGACAACGTGACTGATGCAGTACATTTTAGAGTTTTAACACAGAATTTATATAAAATGTATATATATATATATATATATATATATATATATATATATATATATATATATATATATATATATATATATATATATATATATATATATATATATATATATATATATAGTTAAAACAATTTACAGTACAGTATTTTATTTATTTTATCTTTTAACTCTTTACTATTATGTTATTCTACACACTTTTATAAGGTCCACATTTGTGTGACAATTTTTTTTCTATAATTTTTGCTGATGTAAACACCAGAATTTCCCCATTGTGGGACAATAAAGGGATTTTCTATTCTATTCTATTCTATATGTGCACAAAGATTAATCACAATGACATAGAAAAAACAGCATATCATGAATAAATCACCCTCCTTGTTCAAGCAAAACAACAACAATCAGGCTGAAATATAAATAATGACAAGAAATGCAAAAACAAACAAAAATAAAAAATCCAAAAGCAGAAGAAAATGGTTCAAGCTGCGCTGTCGATTCTCTATTTGTTGGGGGAGGAAAAAAAAAAAAAAGAAAAGGTGGCCCAAGGTGTCCTAATACCTTCACTACATATCTCTGGGCAACAAAGCCCAGATCTCGCCAAAGCGCTCCGGTGCCAGCGCTGCCACACACCGGCCGCTCAGCGCCGCCAAGCTTTGCTGCCACAAACCCGCTGCTGAAATGCGCCGCTAAAAGCTCAGCCATAGCCTTCCCTATCTGCGCTCTACACACACAGCATGCAGGGGAGGGAAGGAAGGAAAAAAGGAAACAAAAAAAGAAACCCAAAAAACCAAGGAGAGCTCCAAGCAGTCACATTTCCACAACAAACTGAAAGTAGACACCAAAACAGCACAGATAAGCGCACTGCAAGAGGAAGACAGACGGCCTGGTAGTTACCATTTTGCACTCTCATCATAAATTTGGCACGGCGCTAAAAGTGAAAAAAAAAAAAAAAATCTGCACTTTTTTTCTCTCTTTTTTTTTGCGCTCCCAAATGTAAAGCAATTGTTGGTTTGGCAAGGAGAAAAAAAAAACACTTAGAGGGATGATTAAAAATAAACTTTCACAAATAAATAGCTGTTCATTAGAAGCAAGTTTTTAAGTAAAATAAAAAAAAATGTTTAAAAAACTGTCAGAAAAATTAATTAAAAAAAAAACGCAACTTTGCGAATTCCAAAAAAAAAAAAAAAAATCCTTGGCAAAGTGCGCACTAATTGGTAGCGGTGTCTGTTCTGATCCCTTGGCCCGCCTCACACACACACTCTCTCACTCTCTCTCACTCTCTCACACACACACACAGATGGGGGAGCCGAGGAGAGCGAAGCGCAGTCGAGGAGGAAAAAAAAAAAACGGGAAAAAAACGCAGAGCGGAATCAATGTTGGACCAGCGCAAAGGACCGCTGGCAAAGCCGAGCGCTGCCTCTCCTTTTTTCCTCCTTTTCTCTCTTTCTGTGTCTCTCCTCCTCTCCGCGTTCTCTCCCTAACCATCGCTTGAGCCTCTGCCAGCGCGACGAGAAGGCCCACCTATTTGGCACCGAGATGCCCGCAGCCCAGCCAATGCTTGGAGAGCCGAAAGGGAGGGGAGGAGAGAGAGAGAGGCAGAGAGAGAGAGAGAGGGAGAGGGATGGATGGATGAGGGGGGAGGAGGAGGGAGGCAGGTTAGGGTGGTAGAGAGGTGCAGGTGGGAGTTTTGGAAAAAGACAAGTTCCAACCCTGACAAGAAGGGAAAGTTGAAGGGAAGGATCCTAGAAGTCCACCTCCTCCATAATAAATGTGGACCTGCTGCCCCCCCCCCTCCCTCTGCTTGCATAATGCCACCTTGGCAGAGGATGGCAAAGAGAGGACGTGCAGCTCCAATGTCCCTCCAGACCCCACCGCCACCACCACAGCCGGCAGCTGCTCTGGGGTTCAGCCCAACAAACAAAGAAAGGGGGGGGGGGGGGGGGGGGGGGGGGGGGGCACAACACAGAAGCCGCTCTCCTCTTTCTGCAAAAAACAAGAACGAACGACGAAGCGGATTCCCAACAAACGGTCAGAGGAATGAAAGGTGGACCGGTTCAGGAACACCCAAGCAATGATGCTAATCTGTGATACCTCCTCATTTCAGCGTACGGCCCCAAAACTTCCTCTCCGACCAAAGCCCCTACCTGTGACAGTGAATAACTCAAGAAGTAATACAATATTAACTGCCTAAATGATGCATGCAGTATATATAGCCCTTACTTGTCATGCACATCGTTGTTCCGGTTGGCATATGGTGTAATTTTCTATTTATTCAAACTGTAAAATCATTGCAACAAACTGAATTAAAATAAAACTAAAATACTTTATTTAAACCAAACTCTTATATTTGACGATGATGTGGTTTTGCATCTAAAGGCTAACGTTTCCCGTCTTCTGTGCATTGTTGCCAGGTTGGGATGTTTCCCAATCTGGCGGTTTATGATGGCCGTCTATGGGTAAAAAATGTTTTTCTTTAGATTTATGGCCTAAGAGATCAATAGACTTTGGTTCAAATTGGGCGAGATTTCGTATTTCCAGGCGGTTTATGAACATTTTTTGGGCTGGAAAACGTGAGTCAGTGACATCTGGCAACCCTGCTAATGTGGTGAGCGTGGACATTACGCAGTAAAGCTGCATTATAGAAGTCTTGGTGATGGTTGTCGTGTGATACTTGAAGATAGACCGGTTAATCCACAATGTGTATTCGTATTGTTTTTCACATTTGAGATGCACGCGTTTGACTGTGCTTCTGTTTTTTTTCCCCCGGGGGTGGGGGTCCATAAGTGGGCCGGTGTAGATGGAAAAATGCCAGTGGTTCCCAGTCCGAGCCTGGATGCTAAAAATGTGCCTCCTTCAGTAAGGAAGGGAGGAAGGGAGTCCTGATGATGCCACTTTGAAGGCTGCACCTGCTCCAGCACATGTGCATGACAGAGCCCTGCAAAAACCACACCTCAACAGATACAGTCTTTAAGCTCCTCATCACCTAGAAGCTGCACTATCAGGATTCACACCATTATAGTTTTCTACTTGTTTGGAGCTCGAGTCAAAGACGTTCATTTAAAGGATGTTATTTGATCTGCACTGAAAACCAGTGATGAAATTGTTCTTTTTTTACTCATAGTACTGTAAGAAAATGTGGAAATATGCATCCATCACTCAACATCCACCAACAGGAGTTCAATCAGTGCCATTAAGGTTTGATCAGTCCTGTATTACACCAGTCAGGTCACTCCTACCCCCCAAAAACACAAAAAACAATCAGAACCATCATAGAAGGAACAGACCCGTTTGCAGTATTTTCTGTAAATAATAAATGGTTTAAGATTTGAGAATTCTTAAGATGACTTGGAATAATTTATGGATGTACTTGGATACAAATAAATTGAACTGACACACAATAGGTTCATGGAGACATTTTTTCTGAGTATGTGTGATAAAAGCAGGCAGATATGTAGCTTAGCATTTTCATCATTCATGAAGCTAAATGTTTATAAAATCTATGATTTTCTGACACGCTGTCATATACCTGATCTGCATATAGGCAATTTGTCTCAACATGTCACAGATTATAATCTGTAATTAAACAACAATAATTGTTGAAAAATGTGACTTCCACCTATATCTTTTATAAGAGTCACATAACCAATTTATTAATAGACAAAAACGTAATAAAAAAAAAAACATTATTACATGTTTTTTCTTTCATTCATTTTTTACATATGGCTCTCCACCCAGGGTGCCCTTTAGTTGGGGGCAGTCTGAGGTTGTTATATGACTGAAGATTACTGTTGACTGTTAGACTCAATGGATGTTTTTACATAAATCATGACTCTATTTAAACATATAGTGCAA